CCATCCACCCACCCATCCATCCACCCACCCATCCATCCACCCATCCATCCACCCATCCATCCATCCACCCATCCACCCATCATCCATCCACCCATCCATCCATCCACCCATCCATCCACCCATCCATCCATCCACCCATCCATCCATCCATCCATCCATCATCCACCTTTCACCAGGCTCCCCATCCACGAGCAGGAACACACAAAGTAAGAGACAACACAGCCAGATCCACCTTCCTGGGAGTCAGAACCACCGCATTTGTGACAAGGAAGTTGCATCTGGCAAGGGCTGGAAGGGGCTGGCCACATCCTGTAGGGACAGTGGGGCCAAGGGCAACATTCTCCAGGTATCCTGGGACCCCAGCTGCAGTGCTAGGCATCACTAAGAGAGTTAAGGAGATGGTCTCCAACCCAGCATAACCTCTAGTGCTCAGAGGGAGAAAAGTCTCCTTGTGGCCGCTGCCCCTCCCCACCACTGCATGGGCTGAGACCCAGCACTGGACCAAGCTGGGTGGGCAGCCAGAGCAGGGAGAACACAGAGGTGAGGGGCAGCCTCCATCTCCAACATGGCCTCATGGCACTGACTGGAGAGGGAGCTGCCCACGGTCACAAGGTCAGCAGGCTACAGACACCCACCCCAAACAGAACCCCGGTCCTTTCCTGCCCAGTTCTTCTTTACAGTTCTGGGGCTGTGTCCTCCAGCCCTAGGAAACAGTGGTCGTGAGGACTCCCCTGACCATAGCTCACAGCCCAAGTGTGCTGTTTTCAGGAAGTGTCAGGAGGGAGCCATTCCAAGCATGTCCTGCAGGGGCTGGGGTTCCCTGGGAGACAGCTGAAGGGCCTGCTGGGTGGGAAGGTAGGGTCAACACCAGGGACCTTCCAGGGCACTCAGTCTTCATGGATTCTCCACCCTCCTGTCACAAAGGCTCAAACCCACACACCCCATCCTTGCCTCACTGGTCCCGGCTGTCAGTGGGCGGAACCTCTGCTCTCACAGGTTCCCAAGGCTGGAGGCACCCCTCAGGCTAGCTTTGCCCGATACAGAACAAGCCCAGGGGTGCACAGCACAGCTGGAGCAGCTCCCTGGGGGCAACATGGTACACGCTCCTTAGTCCAGTGCCAGCCAAGCAGAGCAGAGGCAGTGTCTTCCCTGTCCCACCCACGTTGCTGCCCCTGCCTAGCACATCTCAGCTGAACCTGTGCTCCAGCAGCTCCGCCCCCATGGTGCTTTTACCAGGCCGACTCTAGACTGCTGTGAGGTGTCAGTGAGGGGAAGCTGGGTGATCGTGAGCCATACACAGCAGGTGCTCAGTGAATGGTGGCACCCTGGTTCTGTGAGAAGCAACCCAGCTGGTGGAGCAGCTGAGGGCAGTGGGGAGGGGGTTCGCCTGCTGCCCTCGACTCCTCCAGCACCCAAGGCTCCAGCCACATGGGCTCAGGGCAGGCTGACTGCCGGATGGAGCCCGGGAGCCACACCCAGGGAGGGGAGAGAGGGGACCGCTTTCCGGGGGACAGGGAATCAGTGCTCTGGCCTCCCGATGAAGCCTGCTGCGTCCTTCCTCAAAGCATCACTAATGTGAGGGAACAGGTGGCAGGTGGGGGCCATGGGAAGCTTCTACAGTGTCCAGAGGGGCAGGTGGGTGCTGCAGTCTCTTTCAAGCAGAAGCCACTCAAAGTCACCAAAGCACCTTGAGGGAAGAAGCCACCCTGGGGAGTGGGACACGCGCAGCACAGGAAGGTAGGGTGTCCCAAGAGCCCCTCTCCATTCACCCCAGACAGAAGTGCCCAGGAGCCGGCTTTCGGTAGATCCAGACAGAGCTAGGCCACCCAGGACAAAAGAACCAGAGAGAATGGTCCCCAGGAAGCCTCAGCAGCTCCTCCCAAAGATGCTGGAACTCTGGGGTCGGCTAATGCTGATCTACGGACCCCACACGAGGAAAGGATGCTGACTGAGGCAAAGGGCATCTCTGCAGGTCTTAGCCACTTGCTCCAGCAGGCTGGGTGACCACCGAGCCTTAAGCAGGGACGCCATGCCCCGCCTTTTAGAGATGGCTCAGGCCTGTTCTGTGCTTGGCTGGGTCTGGGAGTCTCTGCAGCTGCAGAGAGGCCCCAGTCCTCCCATCCACCTGCCACAGTCCGTTCATGGGTAGGACCCAGAACAGATGAGAGATGAGAGCCCCATCTGGTCCCTGGGCTCCCCACAGACAGGGCCCCACAGTGAGCCCTGCAGGGCGTGCAGATGTGGGGCTAGGACCTGTGCTCCAGCACCGCTGGCTGTGCTGGGAAGGCCTGGGACTGCACAATGGTGGGTACGGGGAATAAGGCCTCACACCCCAATGGACAGCCTGCCCGGCCTTCACTAGCTATCCCAATGGCCCTCTGCATCCTAGGGACCCAGCTCAGCCCATCTGTCCAGCCTCTGGCTCAGCAGTGACGAGAAGAGCTTGTCTGGGATGGAGACAGCTTGGACTGCAGGTAGAATCCACAAATGCATAAAAGCATAGAGCACAGTGTGCACACAGATGGGGTGAGGAAGAGACAGAGTGGCACGCCATGCTGGTACACATGGACTTGGAGTTTCTTTGCCTTGCTGTCCCAGACCTGCTGTTACGTGGCGGTGTTTTTATCATTTTTTAAAGGGAAAGATTCTGTGATGATCTGTTGAATTCTGGCAGCTCCCCACTCCAGCTCAGCCCCACTCCCTGACAGTTCTGGGCCTGGAATTTGGGGTCACTGGGACCAGAGACTTTGATCTGGGCGGGGTGGGTGCTCAGTAGTGCCAGGACCACCCACATCTCTCTCAGCTTGCGCCCTCTCAGACCAGTGCTCCTTCTCCAGGGCCCCTCATAGCCACCCTCCTCCCTAGCCACTGCCCTGGGAAAGGCCCGCTGCTCTGGCTCTGTGACCTGCTGGGACAGCCCAGCCCTCACCCCAGCTATGAATCACTCCCTCTCTTGAGCAGGTAGCTCTGGCTCCAACCAGGGTCACCATTCCTTTCAGGCGGGGCCCCATCTTCCTCACTGACCTAGGCACCTCAGCTAGGCACCCCTGCTTGGCCTAGGGTCACGCTGCCCTACCTCTTGGCTATACTCCAGGCCCTTGTTGCCCCCAAATGCTCCTGATGTGAAGGACAAGCCAAGCCCATGCAGATGGATGTGTGGAGTGGCTGATGCCCACCTGCAGAGGCCCCTCCCAAGCCAGCACACCAGCGCCTGCCCCTTCTGTGTGCTGTCTAGCATCTGTGCCAGGAGGAGACCACTGAGCTGCAGTGACCAGGTGGTGGAGTTTCCCTGACATGCACCCCTTGGGAGGTGACAGTCCACGGCTCTAAGGTCCTAGTGCAGGCTCTCAGTGACTTGACCTACAGCCATGGAAAAAGGCCCAGAGCGGATGGGGTGCCCAGGTTCTGAGTTTTGGTTCAAGGTTGGGCTAGAGGGACAGAGAGGTCACCTCAGGACACCCACACAGACAAGGCAGAGGTCTGGGACTCCAGGGCCTTTGCCCCGTATACCCTGATCCTGGCTTTCTGGGAGGAAGTCATGTAAGGCAGTGAACATCACAGCCACAGCTCAGA